TTTATAATTTTATAAAACATTTTTTTTGAACAAATTATAACTTTATAAGTGAGGGATTCAAAACCTCATCTTTAAATTAAAAAGTGTTTTTATAACATAATTTATAATTATCAGATAAAAAAAATCAAATACTATAATTTTTTATGATATTGTAACATTTACATTGTCAAAAACAAAATTTGAAATTTGCTGCCCTTTAAAATTAAGACTAGATAGTGTTTAAAACTGTACAAGGACAACCATCTAACATTTGTGATGTAAAAGAAAAGACAGTTACTGCATGACACCAGTCTCCACGGATTGGGGATCTTGAAAGGACACTTTTACCCTTCTATCATTTTTTTTTTCTTTGGCGGGGTGGGGGGGGTTGGTGGGCTCTCTTCTCTTGTCGGCTCATTTTATCGTTTCACAAATTCGCGTCATCATCATTCATAATCATCATTTTCTTCCTTCTCCTCATCAAGTCATCATTATGGTGCAGGCTTTTCTTTCTTTACTTTTGAAAATATTGCATAGCCGTATTCATTGGATGCCAAGCATCCTCTTGTTCAACTAAGAAGCAACTCAATTCACATTCCAAAATCGACATGGGCACCCCGTCTTCCAAGTCATTTGGTAGAGTAGAAGATGTGCAATTTAGCCTAATGATTTGTAGCCGTATTCATTTGAATTCTAAACGTATCATTACAAGAAATTAAACAATGGTGTTCAATCGACCAAAATTCTCTCTCGCCGTCGCTAGGGTTTTCCCTCAGCGGCGTGCGAGCTTCTCACCACTTTGGTGCTTCTCCTTGGTTTTTTCAGAGCCTTTCTTCCTCTACTTCTTATCCTTTGTTTCGATTTCCCTATCCCTTTCTTGGATCTTGGCGCAGAGTAGAGATCGGGGCGCAGGCAGTGAAGGGACCTGGTGCAGAGCAAGGCTGGTGCAGGGCGTGCGCGCGGGGTGCGAGTGTGGGCGTGGGCAATGGCGCATGCTTGGGGCGCGGCAAGGGCAGGGGTGTGATGCAACAGGCGGCTCGTCTAGGTGCAGCAGGCGGCTCGTTTTGTGGGTGGACCCTGTGTTTTCCAGATCTAGAAGAGCTTTGGTTCCTGCACATGCTGAG